GAACAAAGAACGTTGCAACAAGAACCACCAACATACACGAGATTCTCTTATTATTTATGCATTGTAAATGGTTAAGTTGTAAGAAGTTAGATCGAAATGGGCTCCATAAGCTTATCAATAGTGGTTTCAATTTCCTTGATAATGGTGCTTTGCCAAAAAGCATCGAGCTTATCCTCTCTAAGCAGCCTACTTTATCAACTTGCTGACATGCGAAACGAATCATTTTACCTTACGATAATGCACCAAAACGACATTCACAGCCATTTTGATTTGATAAGTAGGTATGGGTATAAATGCGTTGACCCCAAACGAAAAACCTGCTACGGTGGATTTTCAAGAGCAGTGCATTACGTGAAGGACATAATCGAGCACGACAAATTTACAAAGAATCTTCTCATCGTGAGCTCCGGCGACTTCTTCAAGGGTAACCAGTACTACTCAGAGTTTAAATGGCAACTCATTGTAGACATGATCCAGCACATGCCGTACACAGCGCTCACGCTAGGGGACGCCGAGTTCACGGACGGTATCGACGGTCTGGTGCCGTTTCTGCGCGCCATCGGTGAGATATTCGTCTGCACCAACATCGACTTTAGCGGCGTCGCCAACGTGACGCTGCAAGAGGAGTTGCGCCGCCTCTGTCCCAGGCACCGCATCGTCTCCTACGATAGCCTGCTTGGCCCGCGGCATGTATGCTTACTCGGCTACACCACCCCGCTGACACAGAAGTTGATGTTCGACAAGTGGGCTCATTTCGAAAACGAGGAGGAGGCGCTGACGCGTGAGATCAAGAAGCTGCGCGCTGCCAGACCCGAGGTCAAAATATTCGTGGCACTCGGTCATTCCGGTTACGAGCGTGACAAGCAGATCGCCCACCGCGTGCCCAGTCTGGACGTCATCATTGGCGGGCACTCGCACACCCTTCTGTGGCCCAACATCCGCAATAGGCAGGTGGCAGGCGTGCCGGACGACCCTCACGACCAGCAGTTTGCCAAGGACGTCTACCCGACCACGGTCATCCAGCCCAGCGGCCGAGTGGTGCTCATCGCGCAAATGTACAAGCACGGCAAGTACCTGGGCGTGCTCAACGTCACATTCAACGCTGATGACGAGGTGACCGACTTCTATACGGGGCCCGTGCTGCTCACCGACGAAATGCCTGCCGACGCCGAGACAGAAAAGTCGCTCGACAAGTATCGCCAGGAGATGCGCCGACGGCAGCAGCAGGTGATCGGTAGCACACGGGTCGAGCTGGTCGGCAGCGTCCAGGAGTGCACCTACACAGAGTGTACCCTGGGAAACCTAATGACAGATGCCATGCTATGGCATGTGCGTCACTACGGCACACGCATGTCGCATACGCTAGCAGCAGTAATCAACGCTGGCGCCATCAAGCGGAGCATCAAACCGGGCAAGTTCAAAATGGCCGACATTACAGCATCGCTGCCCTACCCGGATACTCTAAACATCGTCAAAGTCAGAGGCTCCACCGTCCGGAAAATGCTCGAGCACAGTGTCTATGAGAGCAAAAGGGGAATTTTCTTACAGATTTCCGGGATGCGCGTGCTTTACAACATGACCAAGCCACCAGGCGAGAGAGTCGCATCAGTGCGCATCTTGTGCCAGACTTGTGTGACACCAGAGTACGAACCGCTCAACGATACGGCCATCTACCACATCGCCACGTTCACGTACCTCGCTGTAGGAAATGACGGCTACACCATGCTCAAGCAAGAGATGCTTTCGTCGCAGCAGCGGCACGACGTTAGTACTGACATCGTCGTCACCTACGTACGTCGCTTCTCGCCGCTTTACCCCTACTTGGACGGCAGGATTGAGATCGTGACAGAGCCGGTGGTGAACAACACGGCTACCCAGCAATACAGCTCCCGGACCATGTGGGTGGTGGCGGTCGCGGCCGGCGGCGCCCTGCTCTCGGCCATGCTACTCGTATAACAGTGAGAGCTCGGTACAGCATGATGCACAGTGCGCTGAGACCAGGACGAAGGGTAGTGTTATGCTATGTTAGGATTCGCCTGATGTGTGCCCACTTGCCCAAATCGCCCGCGAGTATTTGGTGTGCCTAGATAGGCAATCGAAGCGACTGCCGAATCTGCTGTCAAGTCTTCAGCTGTGAGTTGTTCGTTCATGTCGCATGCGATTCACTTTGTGTTCTCAGTGAAACAGCCCACCTTATTCAGGTGCACCTACGGTGCTGCCACTGTTGTCCAATGTCTGTTGTTTGATCGTTTCTTTTGACTTGCACACGGCAGTAATTACAGTGTTATTGTCCATCTCCGTGAAGTCCAATCCATCTGCAGAGGCGAGGGGCGGCTCGAATAGCTGGTGCGCCTCCAGCACCAACAGGCCGCAATCAGGAGCCTTTACGGCCCAACGATCACCCTAGGCTAAGATATTCCATTTCTCGTCGCGAAAAAAGATGCCTTGCTGAGGAATATGTGCCTTGCACGGGTCATTTCCCTCCTGCAAAACTGTATAGTTCTTCCTATATTAAAATATAGAAAATATTTTTGTATAAAAAGGTTTTATTTTCTTTGTTGATCATTTTGAGCATAAAAAATCATAAATCCATTGCAAAAAAAAAATATTTTCGCAAAAGTGAACTATTCCCTTTAAGGAAGACTTTTTCATGGAATCAATCGCATGTCAACAGATCACGTTTTTTGGGAGCATTAATTTTCTATCTTCTTTCATCACGGGAAATTTCCTATCCCTTTACGCTGCACCTTTACGCTGCACTATATATGGCCTTGCGCTGCACTAAGAAGTTAGAGCGAAATGGGCTCCATAAGCTTATCATTTTTCTTGATAATGGTGCTTTACCAAAAAGCATTCAGCTTAACCTCTCTAAGCAGCCGACTTCATCAACTCGTTGACACACGGAACGAATCATTTTACCTAACCATATTGCATCAAAACGACATTCACAGCCATTTTGGCCTGATAAGTAGGTACGGTTACAAATGCGTTGACCCGGGACGGGAAACTTGCTACGGAGGATTTTCAAGAGCAGTGCACTACGTGAAGGACATAATCGAAAACGATCAATTTACAAAGAATCTTCTCATCGTGAGCTCCGGCGACTTCTTCAAGGGCAACCAGTACTACTCAGAGTTTAAATGGCGACTCATTGTCGACATGATCAAGCACATGCCGTACACAGCGCTCACGCTGGGGGACGCCGAGTTCACGGACGGTATCGACGGTTTGGTACCGTTTCTGCACGCCATCGGCGAGATATTCGTCTGCACCAACATCAACTTTAGCGGTGTCGCCAACGTGACGCTACAAGAGGAGCTGCGCCGCCTCTGTCCCAGGCACCGCATCGTCTCCTACGATAGCCTGCTTGGCCCGCGGCATGTATGCTTACTCGTCTACACCACCCCGCTGACACAGAAGTTGATGTTCGACAAGTGGGCTCACTTCGAAAACGAGGAGGAGGCGCTGACGCGTGAGATCAAGCAGCTGCGCGCTGCCAGACCCGAGGTCAAAATATTCGTGGCACTCGGTCACTCCGGCTACGAGCGTGACAAGCAGATCGCCCACCGCGTGCCCAGTCTGGACGTCATCATTGGTGGGCACTCGCACACCCTTCTGTGGCCCAACATCCGCAATAGGCAGGTGGCAGGCGTGCCGGACGACCCTCACGACCAGCAGTTTGCCAAGGACGTCTACCCGACCACGGTCATCCAGCCCAGCGGCCGGGTGGTGCTCATCGCGCAAATGTACAAACACGGCAAGTACCTGGGCGTGCTCAACGTCACATTCAACGTCGATGACGAGGTGACCGACTTCTATACGGGGCCCGTGCTGCTCACCGACGAAATGCCGGCCGACGCCGAGACAGAAAAGTCGCTCGACAAGTACCGCCAGGAGATGCGCCGACGGCAGCAGCAGGTGATCGGTAGCACACGGGTCGAGCTGGTCGGCAGCGACAATGAATGTACAAACGCCGAGTGTAACCTGGGAAATCTAATGACAGATGCCATGCTATGGCATGTGCGTCACTACGGCACGCGCATGTCGCATACGTTAGCGGCGGTCATCAACTCTGGAGCCATCTGGCGAGGTATCAAGCCCGGCAAGCTTAAGATGGCCGACATCACAGCATCGCTGCCCTACCCGGATACTCTAAACATCGTCAAAGTCAGAGGCTCCACCGTCCGGAAAATGCTCGAGCACAGTCTAGATGAAACCAGAGTAGGAATTTTCCTGCAAATTTCCGGTATGCGCGTGCGTTACAACATGACCAAACCATTAGGCGAGAGAGTCGTATCAGTGCGCATCTTATGCCAGGATTGTGCGTCACCCGAGTACAAACCGCTCAACGATACGGCCATCTACCACATCGCCATGTTCACGTACCTAGCCGTGGGCAACGACGGCTTCACCATGCTCAAGCAGGAGATGCTTTCGTCGCAGCAGCGGCACGATGTCAGTCTCGACATCGTCCTCACCTATGTACGTCGCTTCTCGCCGCTTCACCCCTACTTGGACGGCAGGATTGAGATCGTGAGAGCGCCGGTGGTGAATAACACGGCTACTAGCCTTTACGGGCAACGGAAAATGTGGGTAGCGGCAGCGGCGGCCGGCGCCGTCGTGCTGTCAGCCATGCTACTGGCGTAGTGAGACTGCTAGCGTGGCAGATGAGAGCTTAAGTTCGGTACTGTGCGATGTGCTGCTAACGAAACCGAAGGACTGCATTACCCTACCGCCAGGAACTCTATGAGCTGAGTGTACTGGTTAGACGAATGCCGTCACTGTCTGTCTACTGTTTAGTCTTTTTTTGTGAGCAATTGTTCGTTCATGTCAACTGTGGTTTCCCTAGTGTTCTCAGTCTGAAACAGCGCACGCACTACACTAACAATAGTGTTCTTGCGACGCTGCCCTGTAATTGTCCAATGTCTGTTGTTTGATGGGTTCTTGTACCTTCTGATGCCAGTGATTACAGTGTTACTGTCTAACCCCGTTCCACGTACCTGCGGAGGCCAGGAGCGGCTCGAAGATCTGGTGTGCCTCCAGCACCTGCAGACCAGAGGGCGGCGGCGGCTGGGACGACACCTCGGCATCCTCGTCACTGCTGACACTGAGTAGCGGCTGGTGCTCAGAGTCCACCACCGCGCCCGCCAGGTCCTGTACACGGCGAGGTCACAGGTCACAGGTCACTGCAGTGTTCCATTTTTCAGCCTTTTTGGTGGCAAATCACACCTAATGGGGAAAATATTTTCATCCCTAAAATATGAATGGCCGACTTTACTTCATCTCTGAAAAGAGTTTCATGTATTCCCAACAGCCAGTTCACATGTCACTTGACAGTTGATGCACCCACATCCTTTTGTTCCACACCCTGTCAAGACCCTGACATGAAATCCTGGTTTATCAGTTGGCATAAAAATTGGCATTTCACCATTTTGCAAAAAATACTGCAGTTATTTACTTTTTTTTCTCATCCTAGGATTTTTTTTTCTTCATCGGCACACCCAACCAATATCCAATTTTAGAACACTGCAGGTCAGGTCACAAGTCACAGGTAACAGCGCTGGGCAGGTCAGCTGAGAGGTCACGGTGAGAGGGACAGGGGTCAGTTAAGAGGTCATAGCGAGCGGGAGGTGCTTCACAGAAGTGTCAGCGAATCACAGACTAGGCTACAGGGATCAGCTGACATGTCACAGGTCACACCGAACGCACTAGTGATTAACCCAGATATCACAGGGCAATAGCATGTAACAATATGTGACAACATTGAAGCTAAGGCTATTCACATTTAAGTATGGTATGACTATAGAGCACATAAACACGATAAGGTGCACGTCCGTACCCTGATCTGTGAGAGCGGCAGACGGCAGCGGTGGTCGGCGGCACCGCCGTTAGCCTGCTGCCGCGCCATCCAGCTGTACAGGTCCTCGCAGCTGTCGTCGGTCGGCTGGGGAAACGCCGGACGGTGGTTAGAGAGAACGAAGAGCGTAGTGACGCCGCAGCCGGACACAGGATTAGATTCACCTTCACCTTCTTTTATGATTACATTCAATGATTCACGGCACTCCACAATGCAATCATCCCAGTTGAATTGAATCCATCACACTCCCCCTCCGTCGGCTAGTATCTCACCTTCTGCCGCAGTGACCCGTGTCGGCTGGCCTGGAGCGGGTCCAGGCTGTCGCGTGACGCCGTCCCCACTGTCCCTGCACCCCCGCCGGTGCCCCCGGGACCGCCCTGCTGGCTGCACAGACTCTGGTTGCTCTCCCCGGCCTGCTGCCGACTGAAGCCGCGGTTCAGCCGGCCCAGAGCCTGCACTGGTGACTCGAGGTGTGCCGACAGAAGTGGGAACATGACTGAATGTCGGCCCGAGCGGAGCGGCTGGTGGGGCAGCGACGGGCGCGGCTCGCCGACCGGAGAGATGGGCGACGTGGGCCCCGAGGCCGGCGACGGAGAGCGGGGCACTGCCGGAACGGGGAGAGAGCAACTGGTTAAACTGGGGGGCACGCAGCGGGACTGCCACAATGCCACCTAACAACTCGCACCAGATAAAGAGGAATAGAGAAATAATGGCAAGAGAAAACATGTCGCCTAAGAAATGATGACGGGATATATGAATGCCACTCGAGATCAACCAGCCATGACTGTAGTCTGTACTACCACAGCAATTTTCCAATACCGCCCCGACCCCAGGCCAGGCTATCCATCCTGTATTATCGTAGCCATATTCGACCCCGGTGGAGCTCCTGAGGCGGCTGGGCCGCCTGTGAGGCGTCCCCCGTATGGCTTCAGCCAAGGGCCGGAAGCACTTCAACTTCAACTTCAACCCCGACCAATCATCACTCACGTTTGCTCGAGTGAAGCGGGATGTCCAGCAGGCAGGTACGCTCATCAATCTCCTCATCGGGCCGAGCCTCTCCGTCCACAGAAGGAGCCTGCCGTAGAAACGAATCAGGGGTACGGAGTATTATTACCAGTGTTCCAATGAGTAATTCAGGGGTTGGGAGATCAGGAAGCTGGTATACAACTAATTGTATCGTATAATTATGCACAAGTTTGTAGCAAAATTGATATCAAAGTGATGAAAATGTGTAGCCATAACTTCACTGAAATTTGAAGCGCCAAGCATAACTATCTAATTCAGATATTTCAACCAATCACAGCCACTTTTCCTCCCTCCATCCGACCGCTTACCCGGGAAGCCGGCTGATGAAGAAAGGTGGGCACTGCCGGCGGGTCCTTGAACTTGTGTCCCAGCAGGAAGGGCATCCACAGCACGTTCTTCCACTGGCGGCTCAGCACCAACACACCCTGAGGAGACAGAGACAAGAGTTAGTCAAACAAAGAGACAGACGCATCAATATCTAACTGCCTACCCGCACGAAATGGGTACAGACAGAACCGTGAAGGAAATAGTATACCACTATCCGCAATAACCAGACTAAGGCCGTGTCCTCAAATATCGATGGGTACTCGACATATTTTGTCGCAGACATGACTAAGGAGCAGCGAAAGCCCTCCTTGACGTCCAAGCAATATTAGTTATGAATCCTAACCTAACGCAAGTCCAATTCCAACCCCCCCCCCCCCCCCGCCCCTCTAGCCATCACGCCACACAAACAGGCATGTCGTCTTCCTCATACAGTTATATTGTGCCATTCCAGGAAGGTCAGACCCTGCTCCGACCGCCCCCCCGCCGCACCTGTTTGAGAGTGGTCGTGTCGGGCAGGAAGCGGGCGCGCAGCTCCGTCTCCAGCTCCGCCAGAGGCGTCTGCTGGATGTAGCGCGCCAGCACGCTGCACAGCTGGCAGCTCGGGTCCTCCTGCAGCGTCTGCGCCACGCTCGTCACGCACGAGTACTTGCTCTGTGGGCAGGAAGGGGTCAGTGTCAGTGTGGGGTGTCGGTTACCAACCACAGGCGGCGGGACAATCAATGGAAGAGGTGGCGTCATTCACTCATCAGTCATGCAAAAACAATGGCATTGAGATCTTTTTTGCGTGAGGTATGTAAAAATGAGCAAAATGCACATTGCACAACGTACTTTAATGAGAAGTCCGCCAGTTGAACTCACCGCGTCCGCACCATCAAATTTTCCCAAATACATAGCAGACACTCATGACGGCTCGATAATCCCTGAACAGCATCACCACCAAACACACACGCTCCACCAAATGCCGAGCTGCCGAATGCTTACCCATGAAGTTCCCGTCGCACTTACATGTATAAATATATCCCACCGCTCCCTCACTCATACTCGTAATACGTAGTCATCACTCAACAGTCATCATCGTCAACGGCCCCAAAGCTTCCCATCAAGCATCAACTCTCTAACTTCCATCATCCATGACAGTCCCATCAACTCCCACCATCCCGTTTCTCACCTTGGGCGTGGCGTGTATGTTGGGGTGGTCGAGCGCGGCCGTCATCAGACACGCCATCACGGCCAGCTGGCGGCGCGTGTGGGCCGACGTCATCTGCAGCGCCGCGCCCGTCATCCGGTTGGCCGGGTTCAGCCAGGCGTTTATCGACGGCGAGGAGGTGCTCAGCATGTTCCAGTCAGATCTGTGTGGCGGGGGAGGGGGGGGGGAGAATAAGTGATCGCTGGGTGATTGATTAGTGATAAGGCGAAAGCTTACAGAAAAAAGGAAGATTGAATGTCTAGATATTAGTCTATGGATACGAATAATATTCAATGTCCATGAGAGAGAAAACAAAACAGCAACACTCATGTAAACTTTACATCGCTCACCAGCCTCGAATGAACTATATAGAAACTTTGCTTACTTAACCGATGTTTGTCTTTTGGCACCGATACAGCTCCCCTCAATATTCGTGAGAAGACAAACACCATTACCAGACCTCTAAAGCCCTCTCGACCCTTAGGGCTCGTGACCCTTCCATCCCGTATTCATCACCTTTCCACATGACTGACCTGGTGTAGTCAGTCTTCCTCATGACGGCCGTCTTGGGCGGCGCGGCGCAGTTGACCCACACAGCGCGCACATCCACATTGAGCGCCGTGGTGCGCTCCTTGCCCTCACTGCCGGCAGACTCGTCTGTACGAGAGTTGGCCGACGGCGGCTGAGGCGAGCGGGACGGCTCGTCGTCTGTACCGCGGCCCGTACCGCCGGCAGGGCCCGTACTGGTACCGGTACCCTGGCCGGCAGCGGTACCGGACACCCCCGTACCGCCGCCACGCTTCAGGACCGTCTTCAGCTCCAGTTGCTCCACACCGAGCTGGGAAAATGGAAGGCGGAGAGCAGTGGTGAAATGACTATGCAACATTTATGTGCGGTGGTGAAATGACGGTGGTGAGCTGCGTCCGGGGTGAAGGGTAAAAGCTCTATATTCTATAGGACGTGGTATGCGCTGCTCGGAAACGTTTAGTAAAACCTGAGGAAGCCGAGCCGAAGACTAAAAATGACATGATGAAGTTGAAGTTACCCAAATGCCGCGCTACAACTGTTTGCGGACCGTTAGAATACGATATACTGTCAGTGCAGGTAGTGCAAGAGAAAAAAATAAAACAGAAGAGATAAAGTTTGACATAATCCTCACATCGAACCCATCTCCACATCACAACCACGCTCAAAGTTCATCACCTGACCGCCTGGCATCCCCAGATTACTAACCCACCCAGTTGCTGACGGCGTCGCGCTCAGCAGTCAGCACCCACCTCCATCATGTTGTAACCGAGTTTCTCCTCGCCGTATCCAGTCATCTCCCTGCCCGGCTCCAGACCCGGCTGGCCAAAGTCGCCATCCAAAGGCGCCGGCACGTTGGTGTATGTGAAGAACACCTGACGAACGGGACAGCAACGGTCACATGATTCAGCACCATTCAGGTCGGCAGAGGTTAACACGTGTTCAGTGCGTAACAAACATATTTGACAATATTTGGCAATAAGATGTCTTGCGTTGGCATATAGTCATGATAAGCAGATGGCAGAAAAAAATCATTCTAAGGACAAAAGGATCGCTATAATTTCGTTCGGAAACGATTAGTCTGATTACTAGTATTGTGGCGCCTTAGTGGGCCAAGATCAAAGCCCTGAATGCTCCAAAAGCTTTCTTCAGGACAGCCTGAGACAGGCGTCCCGACTACTAGCGTCTCATGCCACCTCTACCACTCCTCATCTCGCTGACCTTGCCCTTGTTGGTCGGGATAGATGTGATGACGGCGTCTTTGAGCAGCTGGCTGTCATTCTTCAGTCTCCGCATCTGCAGATGTGACCGACCCACGTCCACGGAGATCATCGTCTCCTGAGAGTCCGAGTCGACCGTCTCCACCAGCGATGGCTCGTATGTCACCTGGGGGATGGTAGACGTTAGAATGGCGCCATTCCACATTCCCTTACATAATGAAGTACGTACTTCATTATGACCCCGTCAGAGACATCGCAGTGTAGCATAAACGTCACCACCATATATTCCTTCGCCAATAGCGTGTTTGCGTGATTCCGTAAAAATGAATTTTGGGTCCATTCTTTCAATGCACTCTGATTCTACCCGCAGTGGTCGAAGACTCACGCCGGCGTACAACGCAACCATTCCCATCCTTTAACTTCTTATCTGGCATCTCACAATGCCATTCCCCTCAGACCGACCTGGACATCCTTGGCCTTCTTCTTGCCGTGCTGCTTCTTGGTGCTGGTGTTCATGTTTCTGGCCAGCACGTGCAGCGACCTCTGAGTACGCCTCTGCTGCAGCAGTTGCAGCTGAAGCCGCTCGATGCTGAGCGCCGCCAGGCTGACACAGGTCAGGTCACGGACGTCGTCCAGGGCCGAGAACGAGATGGTCTCCTCGGTGATGGAAGCTTGCAGGAAGGTGATGTTGACCTGCCGAAGAAGGCGTTGGGATGTGTTAGTTCATCGGGGTTCACGAACGCAACAGCTTGCGTGTACTTAGGATAATCAGTCATGGTCCATCAGAACGGCTGGTGGTGAAACAATAGCGGGGAGAGACCAGAGATGATGGGAACTGCGCTCATGGCATGCAACGGTGATTGCAACCTATGAGATCAACATCAGAAAGTAACTGAAGCTTTAGTATTTGCATCAGCTGGAAAATCCCAAAAATCGTGCCACACTCGCATTGTTCAGCAATCCCCAATCCCAAATAACCCACCACCTCCAAAACCCTGCATCCAACAACTTCATCCCACCCAACCACCTCCTCCGTCACTCACCCTGGGTACAAAGACGAACGCCTGCACCTGCTGCTGATGAGTCTGCTGTAGAATCACCGGCTCACGGCGCAGGGACGACTCCCGGCGCAGGCTGAGGCGCACGTTCGGGTCGCGCTTCAGACGGTTAGCGCCCAGTACAGAGGAGACGGCAGAGCGGCGGTGACGGCTGACTACTGTTTGAGGGTGCATCCGAGACAGGGCCGGAACCAGGGTCTGCACGAACCTGTGGACAATAAGGGGACGATTAGACGAATGGGCATCACAAGTCAAAAAACATTCCAGATCGGCCAGAAGCACATAGCCATTAAGACCGCACAAGAAATTTTTCGTATGTGCAATAACATAAATACAAAAATGGAATAACAAAAAAGCGTGGTATGATCCGATTCCAATTCATGTCACCCATCTCTCCAGCAGTCTTTCAGCGACAATCCTAACCCATCAGCCCCATGAATCCGCCGCCCCTTACCGAGTGGCGGCCTCCAGCAGAATGGGTGACAGCGCCAGGTCCGTCTCCTCCCTCAGACGCACGATCAGAGTGGTGTGCGAGGCGCCGCGCCGGCCGTGGCTGCCCACCACGCCTCCCAGCTCTCCGCGCTCTGAAAACGGAGACGAAAGAGAGCGAGTGGGGCGGTGAGAAGGGATAGACCCTGGCGAGTAACATTTTATACCGCACAGTCAATATTCCCGACGTCACTGTTCATACTTAGAGCCTATTGAGCTGTTTAAGATTCAGTCCGATAGCGATGAAACCAACGCCACCAGACTCAGCATTTGTTACTCAATCAACAGAGACTAAAATTATAATTCATTCCAGGGAATAAACTTAAAGATTCCGTGCTTTCGATGATCAAACAACCAATCTGACGGTTAGCCTATATCCATAAATTTACCTTCCATGTATCTTCCCAGTACGTATCTGTCCATAATATCTACTCACCATTCTCCCACACGTCCCACAGTTTGTGCTCGTCGTTGGCCGGCTCTGACCGGGGCGGGGACGGCGGGGACGGGCTGGCGCTGCCCGGACTGTCGGGCGCGGCGGCCAGGCGGATGTGGGAGAAGCCGCGCGTCACCCGTCTGAACGCCGGCGAGAACAGGCGGCCGGCGAACGTCACGCCGCCGTCCGGCCGGCGCACCAGCGGCCGCAGCGAGATGCCGTCCGAGGCCGAGGGACGCGGCGTGGGACGAGACCAGCTGTGGCACTCCACCTGAAATACGAGAGAGGAAGCCAGTGAAGGGACAGGCTTTTCATAGGCATCCTGGATTCTAAGACATTCAAATTTTTCCAAACATCGTTCAAGTATTTTTCAAAAACTTGAAAAGCAACTATAGTCACGAGTCGTTTCAATAGCGGATGAGTAGGTAAACGCATAATCCACAGTCGTTGCACAAAACATAACAGCTTCCCATAAACAGAAAACCTATCCTAGCGGCGCGCCAGAAGTCAAACTGACCAAGGTCACCTTTGGCCAGCCCATACCACTCTCCTTCCAGCCGCAGCCGTGCGTTACCTGATCCAGGTGGTAGATGTAGCTGGCCATCAGAAGGGGACTGTCAGTGATGGGTCGATCCACCTGCGCCACCAGGTCCACCGTGTTGATGTCGGGCAGCAGGGTCTCCTCGCCGCTGGCCACAGAGGCCGCCGACAGGAAGGAGCCCGAGCTGATGTTGGAGCCGGAGGAGGACGAGGAGGGCGGACGCAGCGCGTCAAACGATACCTGAGGGGGGGAGGAGGTCAGGGAGAAAAGATAGAGGTGATATGAACGGTCAACGAAAAAGAAAGAAAGCTTTAATGTTCTGCTCAACTGAATATTATTGGTGGATGATGACGCATATTTAGTAAGGCGATTGTCAAGAACACACAAACATGGCAATCAAACGAAAACATTTATTGTCAAATGGAATACAGAGAGTTCATAAGTATGTAAATGTTGTCAAGTATTATGAGCTGATGGAACTCATTACGCGTGAGTCACATCCATAAAGCAAGGAAGTGTGGGGGGGGGGTCAAAACAAATATGTTACAGAAAACAAAACAGTATCACCAACACACCACGGCACACCATGCCAAAGCAGCATCTATCAAACTGTGTGGCATAAGCGAGGCTAGTGTGGTTACTGTAAAAAGTATCTGTCAAAACCCGTTTTTTGACTGAAGCTATTTAGCATACCCCCAAAATAACCAAAGCATGTCAAATTACCCAGCCATTACCCCCATTCGTCGCCATCAATACAGACGCCATTACCCCTGCAGTGAGCTCCGCCCACCGTCCTATCATCGGCACCTGTCTGCTCGTCTCCGGTCTGTTCTCCATCCTTGCCGCCGGCCGGTCCGCCTCCTCCACTCCGCCGCTCTCTCCAGCTCCTCCCGCCCTCTGCAGCGTCGACGGCGGCGTCTGGAACGTCGGCAGCGGCGACGAGAGACCGTCCTCGTCGGCCGAGAAGTACAGTTCTGAGTACTCGCTCTGTTCAGAGCCCAGCGAGGCCATGGCTCGTAGAGGTCCGCCGGGAGCCGCAGCCGCCGACGCCGCGCCCACGGAGGCCAGAGAGTGACGCGAGCCGCGCCGGCCGGCCGCCGCTGGCGCAGACGCCACTGACGGCAGGGTCTGCAGCGAGAGAGTCGACTGTCCGGCGCGCGCGGTGGGCAGCGCCAGCCGCGAGTCGGACAGGTGGCGAGGCCCCGCGTCCACCTGACGGCGTGGGACTGCGTCAGCCTTCGCCGGCCGCCCGTCAGTCACTCACACAGGAGGCACATGCTGGGGAAGCCGAGCGGTGACAGGCATCTACCGGGGATAAAATCACCTCCACAAGGTGGCAGCAAAGCGAAAAACCGTCAACTCATCCGATAGAGCCAAAGCATACGCAAACGTTCCAAACTCGGTCTGCGAGTCATGCCCTGACCTGACTGAGACGCATAATCACACCGCGCGGGTTCGCAGATTGCTCACCGCCCACTCCAGAGCTACCCTCACCTCATCTACCCCAGCCGGAGGACTGAGCGCACCAAACTCCCTCGGAGGGGAGACACTGGTGGATCCGACCGGCCCGCGACTGGACGGAGGCGGCGGCGGGGGCTGGCTCCAGGGCATTTCGGCCGCCGGGGGACTACCAGCCGGTAGGTCGAACATCAGTCGGCCCGGGTGTAGCAGGGACTGGCCATAACCCAGGTCGTCGTCCGCATCTGAGATCCTGGAAACAGAGATGAGGTCAGGTCAGGTCAGGTCAGGTCAGGTCAGGTCAGGTCACGTCACGTCAGGTCACATAACGCTGAACAAGAGAAAAAAATTCACAGAACCAAATTATGGGGAGTGTGGCAACTAGCAGCTGAGACGACCTGAAAATAAATATTTGATATTCACTTTGGCCTATTCATACCGTTACTTGCGGGAGCAAGAGAGATGATGATGGAGAATATTCTATTTCTAGAAACAAAACCAATTAAAAAAAACATATTCTAGAAACAAAACCAATTAAAAATAAACCATTCATATTTACCAAAAAAAGCTATATAAATTTGCTAACGCCGTAATCTAGCACCAATCAGCACACTGAACATTGACTAATGCAGCAGTCACGTTTCGCCAAACAACCGACCCATCTGCCTAACCACTCCGTTCTCCACAACTCAACCCCTCCTCTTCCCTCACCGACCTGTACTCTGCCCGGTTCATGCCGTCCACCTCGTCCGACTTGCTCGGATGGAAGAACCGCGCCCCGTTGGCGTTACGGCCGAAGAAGGCGCAGCCGCCGACGCAGCCGCAGCGCTCTGCAGGGCTACCGCCGGCTGCCAGGGCGGTGGACGGGCCGCCGGCGTCCTCCCAGAGGAACCACAGACGACGCTGGGACTCGTCGTGCAAACGGAGGAACCTGTGGACGAGGGGACAGGGGGATGAGCGAGAGCTGAGAGATTGGGCTGAAGGGTGCTCGCTTACCAGAATAATGTCACCAAAACCTTTATGTGAACGGATTTATGGTGAAAATAAAATGATTATCGGAAAAGAAAAATTCATCCAGAGGAGAATCGACACCTTGAGAATGGAGAATGAATATACACAATGGAAAATTAAATTTCGCAAACAATACAACAAAAAAACATTCGATAGCGAAAATCCAACACTAGAAACGCTCTCCCCAGCCACTGCGCTCCCCTCCAGCCCTAATTACTCACTTGTCCTGGGCGACCTGCAGGTTTCCCCACTTGTCCTCGCAGCTGAGGGCCAGGTCGACAATGATGGGTCCCAGGCGGACGGCGCCGGCCTCCACCCAGAGTGGCGGCGCCTCGGGCGCGCCCGGCGGCGGCACGTTGGCGCAGATGAAGTTGTAGAGCTCCACGCCGGGGATCAGCACGGTCAGACCCTGTTTGATGTGCTCGCCGTACAGGTTACAGGTAGAGACGCGGCAAGGAGCCACCTGAGAATGGCAGGATCGGCGTGGGTCATAACAAGAAGCTGGTTGGAGCAGCGGCGATCACTCGTCATACTCCGATCGACAGCGCTATTATCTCGTGAGATATGTGAAAAGCTGACAAGACTTATGTTGTGTATTTGCCTTGACCAAGCTGGCCGGCAGGACTTTAGCTATTGCAGTGTTTTAGAGGACGTGTCAGTTGTTGTCTTCCTTTTTCACGGGGCCTCTCTGTTGCCCATATATGGCTGGTTGTTGTCAAGGTTGTGTGTCCGACGTAGTGCGACTGACTGCGCAATACAAGCTCTAACACAAGATAAAGTCTCAGCTATGAAGTAACACGGACAAATCTCACGACACAACAAAATTGGCGACGACGAACGAGATAAAGAAATCAAAAAGTGAGATCAAGCTGAGATAAAATGAATAAGAGCTAAAAGGAGATTAAAGGAATGTCACAAGTGCGCAACAATTGTCGCAAGGAAAGAAAAGCTGAATTACGATGCAAATGAAGATATAAGGAGTTGTAACAAAGGAAAGAAAGCGAAAAAGGAACCAGAAAAACAAGTGAAAGTGGTTAAATTCCGTATTTGAACTCTCAAAAAGAAATTAAAATGGCTACGAGTCTGCCACCGCCACCGGGTATGCAAAAAGGTGAGGATTTTGGTAAATGGATCAAATCAGTTGAAATTTACATGGGTGCTCAAAATATTGAATCATCTGCTCAAAAAGTGAACATCGTGCTGCATCTTCTTGGCCCGGATGTACAAGAAATTGTTGATACGCTGCCTGATATAGCTGATGTAACCGACCCATACGTCAAACTGAGAGCACAATTGGAAAAGCATTTCAAGCCTCAAGTGAACACGGTAGTGGAGCGTCATGTCTTCAACATGATGCAATATGAAGGAGGTAGGGTAGAGGAGTATGTAGCTAAACTGAAAACGCAAGCAAGGAAATGCAATTTTGAAGCTTCGGAAATGGACAATCTGATCAGAGACAAGCTCTTGGCAACGTGCCCATCCTCCAAGGTCAAGGAGTCAATGCTCAAGGAAAGAGTGCTGACCCTATCGCGTGCCATTATGATATGGTCAACTGACGCAACAGTGAATGAACAAGTAAGAAGAATGGGAAAAAGTGCAGAAGAAGAAGCAGTGAACAAGGTGAAGTGGCAGAACAAAGAAAGAAATGAATCACTGAAGGAAAGAAGGAAACCATGGAATGTAAATGAAAGAAAGAGCCATGAAGAGAAGAGGCCATGGAAAAATGCAAATGGTCAAGGGAAGACATGGAAAAATGAAAACAATGAAGAAAACAGGAAGTGGAAGTTGGAGAAAACTGAAAGGAGACATTGCTTCAGGTGTGGGAAAACGAACCACCTGATCAAGTTCTGCAGGGTACCACCCCACGTCAGATGCCACAATTGTGGGAAACAAGGACATCTAAAAGCAGCGTGCAGAAATGGAAAAACGCTGAATGTGGAAAAAGAAGACCAAGATGATGAAGTTGAAGAAAATCTGTGTGTGTACCAAAGCACATCAAAAGGGAAGGAAGCCATCAAAGTGAACATGGCTGTCAACGAGAAGAACGTCACGTTCATTGTGGACACTGGCTGTCCGGTAACCATGATTCCAGAAGAGCAGGCTGAAGGCCTCAACTTGAAGTATACCAGATGTAAGCTCACATCGTACACAGGACATGAAATACCTGTCAGAGGAATGACAGATGTGGATGTGCAGTATGAAGGTCAAATGAAGAAGAAGATGCCAGTATATGTAGTGGGAGGAAATGGTCCATGCCTCCTCGGAAGGAACTGGCTGCATGAAATCAAGCTGAACTGGTCAAGTCTGGTTGGTCAAGTGAAAGAAAAACCTGAACCACAAAAGAATATAAAGAAGCTGAGTGAAGTGCTGAAGGAACATGAAGAACTCTTCAGTGATGAACTGGGAACAATGAGTGGTCAGGAAGCTGATCTGGAACTGAAGAAAGACGCAGAGCCCGTCTTCAAACCAGCAAGGTCAGTACCTTACAGTCTGACTGATGCAGTGGAAAAGGAGTTGGAAAGATGGAAGACGCTGGGAGTAATCGAAGATCTCCGAGATGATGAACCAACGCCGAAGTGGGCAACACCACTGGTTGTGGTGCCCAAACCAGATGGAAGCGTACGCCTCTGTGGCGACTTCAAAGTGACGCTGAACCAGTACCTGAACGTACCGGTGCATCCTCTGCCGAAGACCGAAGACTTGCTGGCAACCATCGGACCTGCGAAATTCGTATCTGTGGTGGATCTGTCGCAAGCCTATCTGCAAATGAAGTTGTCAAAAGAAAGTCAGGAACTGTGCTACCTGAACACGCCGTTCGGACTGAAACGGATGCTGAGGCTCCCCTATGGAGTCGCGTCAGCTCCAATGCTCTTTCAGAGAGCGATGGACCGAATCTTGAAGAAAGTACCAGGTGTCAAATGTCTGCTGGACGACATCCTTATCACAGGAAAAACTGAAGAAGAAGCCTTGAAGCGGTTGGATGAAGTGCTGCAGATCCTGAAAACAAACGGTCTGCGCCTCAAGAAGGAAAAGTGTCAGTTCATGGCGAAGGAAGTTCGCTATCTGGGAGTGCGATTGGGTGCAAACGGAATCCGACCTGATCCCGAGCGAGTGAAGCCGGTGCTGGAGGCAAACGCGCCAACAAATCAAAGAGAACTACGTGAGTTCTTGGGAGCTGTAACGTTTTACAGCAAGTTCCTGGAAAATCTGTCGAAGATGGCGAAACCACTAAATGAACTCCTGAAGAAGGACAAAGAATGGAAGTGGTCAAAGGAATGTGAAGAAAGTTTCACGAGAATCAAAGCCCGCCTGGCATCTGCTGGAGTGCTCCGACACTTTGACGTGAAGGAACAGGTGACTGTCATCACCGATGCCAGTCCACATGGTCTGGGGGCAGTCCTGGTGCAGGGTGTTCCCGAAAGACCTGTGCTGTACGTGTCGAGATCACTCAGTGAACATGAAAAGAAGTACTCACAAATCGAAAAAGAAGGACTCTGCATAGTTTGGGCATTCGAAAGGCTGAAGCAGTTTCTGTACGGACGTCACTTCAAACTCGTAACCGATAACAAGCCACTGGCTCAGGTGATCGGTCCCAAAACGCCACTGCCAACGTTAGCAGCAAGCCGAATTCAGAGATGGACGATGAAAATGGCAGAGTACGACTTCACCGTGGAAGTCAGGAGGTCTGAACAGATACCGGTAGCAGACTGGCTATCACGTCTACCTAAAGGAACCTCCGTGGTGAATTCAAGTGCGCCAGAAGATGAATGCACCGTGTGCCTGATTGGCCAGTTGAGTTCTCTCAACCCAGTCACTGCTGCAGCGATCCAGCGTGAGACGACAAGAGACCCGCTGCTCGCAAAAGTGGTCAACTTCGTAAACAAAGGATGGCCAGACAAAGTCGGAGAATCTCTACATGCGTTCAAGGTCAGACAAACAGAGCTGACGGTGGAGCAAGGATGCCTAATGTGGGGCTGTCGAGTGGTAGTTCCACCGAACCTGAGGGAAAGAGTTCTTGAAGAACTACATGAAGGTCATCAAGGAATGGTCAGAATGAAGCAGCTGGCCAGGATGCACGTCTGGTGGCCAAACATGGACAAAGAAGTTGAAGCAGAAGTGCGAAGATGCCAAGGATGCTGTCAAAAGAGAGCTGAACCACCATGTACGGACCTACATCCATGGGAGTTTGCAAAGGGTCCGTGGCAGCGAATCCATCTGGATTTCGCTGGCCCAGTTATGGGAAGCTGTACGTTGTCCTCATCGACAGTTTCTCGAAGTGGATGGAAATCGCTTCAATGAAGCACATCACATCAGAAAAGACTATCGAGTATCTCCTGAATGTGTTTGCACGGTTTGGCCTACCTCACCAAATCGTCACAGACAATGGACCGCAACTCGTGAGCAAGGAATTCGAAGGATTCTTGAAGCGGAATGGAATTCGGCATGTCCGAACCGCACCGTTCAAACCCGCAACGAACGGAGCAGCAGAGCGAGCTGTTGGCTGTCTCAAGGGCTACCTGAAGGCCACAAGTGGAAAGAAGATGAACCTGCCAAACTTTCTGATGGCGTATCGAAACACTCCACAGGCTACTACAGGAAGAACGCCCTCCGAACTGATGTTGGGACGACAGCTACGTACGAGGCTAGATCTTCTGAAGCCTGATTTGACCTCTCAAATCCAGGACAAGCAACAAACGCAAGTCGAGCGACGTCATGGTCAACCTCGACAGGTTGCCATCGGTGACGCGATCCTCGCCCGAGACTACCGCGGTCGCGGAAAATGGGCGGAGGGAGAGGTGATGGATGTGGTAGGGACCAAGCACTACCTGATTCAGGTACAGTGGGTCTATTTAAGATCTCCAGAGCCACCACGTGGCGCTACGGTCGGGGTAGGGCGAGTCCAACTCCCGAGGGAAGTGAGGTCACCGGTCATTGTGGGGGAAGGAGGGAGGGGGAGTGACGCAGTATCACGGCGCATGGGGCGTGCGTAGCGCCGGGAGTGGGCCGCCCAGGGCCGCCCGCCACTGCGCCGAGGCTGAGGGGAGGGGATGATGGTTGCGGGTGCGTTCACTCCGGTATGGTGGTATCCTGTTCATGTGGAATCGGCAAGAACGCGACTAAAGGGAATCATTATCTCAAACAAACGGGCAAGCCAGAGGCAGCGTCAGTTCCAGCCAAAATGTTGAACAATGATAATTGAAATCTAGGACGTATTCATAGCATGCAACTTTTCAGTCGATAGTTGCATGATGCTTTTCATGATGCATGATGAGGCTTTTCTAAACTGTTATTTGAGTTAGATATTTTTCATTTGGCACGTTCAGTTTTGGTGGGTTTTATCGGGTCGAAAAGAATCAGAAAAGAAAAAAGAGTTGAGATGGCTCCAGACAAATGACCAAAAATATTTTCCTAAAAAATGAAAGTTAGCTAAACGTTTATAAGCGATAATTTTGACTTTTGGGGAGGGTATTGGGGAAAGATATTGGGGAAAGATGTCATCGTGCTTAGCTGTGTTGCAGTAGAAGGAAAGGTTTTGGTTGTGTCTGGATAAAACCAGACCCGGGAGTGGGGCTCGAACTCACGACATCGCTTTCAGCTCACAGCTTACCCAACCTCAACGCTACGAGCACCTATCGCCCTGCGCAGCTTGCTCAGTGTTTCGGCTAAAGTTCGGCCAAAGTGTCTGACGTCTGTCAATATCACGAGGCGAAACCCCAGGGTAAATGTCCGTCCCGGTAGCTCGGTCGGTAGAGCGTTGGACTCCATGTGCCATGTGGTGAAGGCGCACGTCCCGGTTGCAAAAGTCCGGGTTCGAAACGCGACGTGTGCTTGACGTTTTTTAGCCTCCTGACGGGTATGGTTGTGGTTGGTGGCAGGCCGCTGCCAGGCGAAGTCAGCGTGGGGACCGGCCGTGCGCGGCTATGTGCGCACGTTAAAATTTGGACTCTAAACCATAGACCATTTTGCAATAGACTAAACCTCAAAACCATAGCCTGCAATAGACCAGGAATTGCTTGATCGGTGGGTAGATGGCAAGTTTCAACGCTTAACAAGCTTAGCTTAGCGGGGACTCTGTCCTTGTGATTCCTTCCATTCAAAAGGTTCGGGACAAATTTATATTAAAAAAGGGGGAGCCGAACCAGGTTGGACCGAGTTGAACCAGGCTGGACCGGGGTCATACATGCAATCATGGTCAGACAAAACAGAAGTTAATTTCGGGTCAAATATTTTTATTAACTGATCTTATTGTTTTTTAGCTTACACGTAAAATAACTTTTAGCTTTTTATAACTCGAGACTTCATGCACAGAAATGTGGCGTCCGTCCACTTTTCCTCATCGTCTCTTAGCGACTTGATTTCATGTGGCGGCGGAACGGGGGGGGGGGGCATCGGGGCACCGTGCCCCCGTTTGATTTTGGCATTTTAACATTAGCCCTATGGGCGTTGCATGGAAAGAATGGGACCAAAAGTCGGCAGTGCCCCCACTTCATTAACCCTCGCCGGACCTATTGGTTTTCTACATACGCGCCGGCCGAGGGGGGGGGGGGCGGGTACGACCCCCCCCCTCGCCGTTTCGCCCCTGGTGGAGCTAGCGCGTCGCGGAAAAAACGAGCGTGTGCGCCGTTACGAGACGCAGAGATTGGTACCCGATTTTAAGGTCCTAGGTCAACCGGTGACCTCTGAGGTCAGGTCAAGTGCCCCAAGGTACGGTTCAGTTTTTGGTGAATAACTTCGCAAAAAACGGCCGCAGAGCGCCGATTTTGGCAGCATCGTGTTTGTCTCGCTCAGGCGCGTCGAATGATATACTTTTTGTCCGGGTCAGGTCAACTTGGGGTGTTGACCTCAGGTCAAGGTCAGGTCAGCACCCCCAGGTCACGAAGTTGGCCGAAAGAGGTCATGTCGCATATCATTCGATTCGGCAGGTCTTCCTGAGTCCATTGGTGGCTTTCCCGACTCGCTAGCTCAATTTGATCAAGAGTTATTGACGAAAAACTAATATGACCTTGATGACGTCATAAATGACGTCACGCAAGGTCAACATTGCAAAAGTGACGCATCTAACCTTGCAAGGAGTGCATCAAATCACGATTCTGTGTGCTTGAGACAGTTGGAGATCGTTCCCGGCGCCAGAATAGCAGTTTGAATTTTTCCCCATTGACTTATAATGGTGAGGTCACGAAAATGACCTGACCTCATATGACCTTTAGGAAAAATCCGAGATATACAAGTTGTGAGACTCATAATGGATACTAGATCCTGCAAGTTTCATTTCCCTGTGACATCTCCTCTGGCAGTGAGGTCGTTGCGAAGTTGCGACATCTGAAGACCGTGCAGAGGTTCACTTATGACGTCATAGGTCAGTGACCTGACCTGACCCAAAAATGCGGTTGGTGTCAAAAGATCCGGCTTGAACCAAAGGTCAGGTATGCCAAGTTTCAGCTTTCTATCGCCAGCGTGCTCGGAGCTATCGCGAAAAAACCCTATGGGGGGGGGGCGGCACCCGCCCCCCCCCCCCCTCGGCCGGCGAGGCTTAAAGGTGTTCCGCCGCCACTGCTTGATTTGACCCTAAAGGCGTCTTACCAGCAAAAGAAAAAATCACCTGCATTACACCTAAATATTTGCCCAAGGGCGCTCTACGCAAGAAACACCAGCCGGTCAAAAAACTGGCGAACGAATACGATCTCTCTAGTGCTTGAATTATATTCAATGAAAATTTCAGGAGACATAAATAATCTTAATCCTTATAGCTAGGCGCTCGGAGCATTCGGTAGCATTCCATTGCCAGCTGCATTATCAACGCCACATTTGCATTACTCTGGGTGCATCATAAGTAACAGTAGGTGAACCGGCCACAGCAAAACCATGCCTCATTATCCTTTCCTTCCAAGCTGCCAAGCTAAACGGCCGCCCGGCCCACCACCGCGATATGGAACAACACTGGAGTGCGCCATTTGCCTACGGCAGTGCCCCACCGCGCCGGGGCTGTTTGACAGGTCACCCGCACCGTGACCTCGCCACCCGCCCCCCCTCCCCGCCCACCTCCCCATCGGGCCCAGCTCGGTAGTGACCTCTCCTTGAATTTGACATGGACTCGACTAAGGCTCAACGCCATCTAGTTACGTCTGGAGATCCTAATAAGATCCACTGTACATGACCAGGTCTGGAAGCGCCACATCGACCAGTTGCTGAAAATCCCAATGGCGTCTCCTCGTCATCCGCGTCCGGCTATGCAAGAAGACGACGACGAAGGCATCCGACGGGAAATCGTTGTTCCTGAGACGGCCCGCCCTGAGTCGCTGTCTGCAGAGCAGGAACCATTGTCATCTTCCCCGGAAGCTCAACAAGAACCAGCACGCGAGCCGACGCCCGTGCGCGAAGGAGCTGCTGCTGAACAGGCCGCTGACTCGCCGAGACGTCCAGCGCCGCTATCAACCCGACAGCCGGCGCCGGAGCCTGAAGTGGTGCTGAGGCGCTCCACCCGGACACGGGTACCAGTGAAACGCCTCAACCTGTAGCCGAAGCTTATGTAGATGTATGTATGTGATCTGTGTGCTGGCTTCTTAAAATTGGTTTCGTGTGATTTCAAAAGCTGGAGCTTAATTTAGTGGGGAGGAGTGTTGTGTATTTGCCTTGACCAAGCTGGCCGGCAGGACTTTAGCTATTGCAGTGTTTTAGAGGACGTGTCAGTTGTTGTCTTCCTTTTTCACGGGGCCTCTCTGTTGCCCATATATGGCTGGTTGTTGTCAAGGTTGTGTGTCCGACGTAGTGCGACTGACTGCGCAATACAAGCTCTAACCCAAGATAAAGTCTCAGCTATGAAGTAACACGGACAAATCTCACGACACAACAACTTACTAAAAGAGTTTAACATTGGTTAATTCAGCAATCATTTACAAACCGTCAACAACTTATAAGAAGCCGGTCGCAAATGCACAAACCATTGAACAGCCATGCATCGAAAAAGGCCACAGAACTAATTGGCACAACAGCTCTGCTGTTCCGTACCAGTAATGTAGATTGAGCGAGGTGTCACACAAGTTTGTGCGGGGTAGCCCTTCAGGCCCCGTACCTGCGGACTGCGCGAGGTGCCCCACTGAGGGCTGTACAGTATACAACCCTGCCCCTTACCTGCAGATTGAGCGAGGTGCCGCACTCCACCAGATGAAGGTCTAGGGCGTCCAGACTGAACCGGAACATCTTGTACTTGATGTCGTCCGCCGATGGACATCTGACGGAGGAAACGAGGATGTGTCGAAATAAACATCAACCAGGTACGAGTGAGTCGAAAGTCGTGATTCATATAAATAGTGACATGTCACTCAGCTAAATAACGGCTACAGCTCTTGTACTTTGACTTTTATTCATGTCCTATTACTCTCAGGCAGCGTAACAGACGATGACCCACCTGGCATTGGGCGAAATGTAAACTAACTATCATATTTGGGTGTGGTGTGCTGGAGCAGGAACTCACCTATCCTCTGGCGTGGTGTGCTCGCACAAATCTTGGTCAGTGTCGTGGTGTAATAGTTCCTCACCTGTCCTCTGTCATGGTGTAGTAACTCGCTCAACTCCTGGTCGTCAACTCCTGGTGTACTGGTGAACTCGCCCCTGGCCTATCCTCTGGCGTGGTGTATTCACACAGCTCCTGGTCCGTGTCGTGGTATACTCGCTCCTTACCTATCCTCTGGCGTGGTGTATTCACACAGCTCCTGATCCGTGTCGTGGTGGCACAGCTGGGTGGCCGGCGGCGGCGGCAGCTCCGACTCGTGGTCATTAAGCAGTTGCAGGAACGACTCGAGGCCCGTCACCGTCTGGTACATCTGAGAACGGAGGAATGAAGGGTGAGATAACATCACCGATGCTAGATAGTCACTACAGTTGCATGCGCCATTTTGACAAGATGTATCGTCGTAGAACAGAAAAGCCAAAGCATTACAGTCATACCGAACCTGCCACAAATTATACATACACATTCAATCAGACTTTTGAAGACGAAGTTGAGCATTATCCTTGCATTGTTGTAATCCATGGCCTTTCGAAGATGATCAAGACCAAAACCGCTCACAATTACTGACAAGAAGCGGCCGGACTTTCAGGGTTAAAGTTTCAAAACAACAGCAAAATAAGTATCTCTGAACCATGATACAGTCGACAGTCCTATCTCCACCCCGTCCCGGTTACGCTGCCGTACCTGCGCCGCCGTCAGCCGTCCGGTGACCGTGCCGGCCTGCACCTCCAGCAGCCAGCCGTACTCGACCGTGTCCTCCTCGACACTCCTGCCGCGGTTACTGAACATGGCGTGTCCCCGCACCTGTTATAAACAGAACATACGTCAGCCGTACTCGACACTCCTGCCGCGGTTACTGAGCATGGCGTGACCGCGCACCTGTTATAAACAGAACATACGTCAGCCGTACACGACCGTGTCCTCCTCGACACTCCTGCCGCGGTTACTGAACATGGCGTGTCCCCGCACCTGTTATAAACAGAACATACGTCAGCCGTACTCGACACTCCTGACGCGGTTACTGAACATGGCGTGACCGCGCACCTGTTATAAACAGAACATACGTCAGCCGTACTCGACACTCCTGCCGCGGTTACTGAACATGGCGTGTCCCCGCACCTGTTATAAACAGAACATACGTCAGCTGTACTCGACCGTGTCCTCCTCGACACTCCTACCACGGTTACTGAACATGGCGTGACCCCGCACCTGTTATAAACAGAACATACGTCAGCCGTACTCGACACTCCTGCCGCGGTTACTGAACATGGCGTGTCCCCGCACCTGTTATAAACAGAACATACGTCAGCTGTACTCGACCGTGTCCTCCTCGACACTCCTGCCGCGGTTACTGAACATGGCGTGACCCCGCACCTGTTATAAACAGAACATACGTCAGCCGTACTCGACCGTGTCCTCCTCGACACTCCTGCCGCGGTTACTGAACATGGCGTGTCCGCGCACCTGTTATAGACACAGAGAACCTACGTCAGCTGTACTCGACCGTGTCCTCCTCGACACTCCTACCACGGTTACTGAACATGGCGTGACCCCGCACCTGTTATAAACAGAACATACGTCAGCCGTACTCGACCGTGTCCTCCTCGACACTCCTGCCGCGGTTACTGAACATGGCGTGTCCCCGCACCTGTTATAAACATAACATACGTCAGCCGTACTCGACCGTGTCCTCCTCGACACTCCTGCCGCGGTTACTGAACATGGCGTGACCGCGCACCTGTTATAAACAGAACATACGTCAGCCGTACTCGACCGTGTCCTCCTCGACACTCCTGCCGCGGTTACTGAACATGGCGTGACCGCGCACCTGTCATAAACAGAACATACGTCAGCCGTACTCGACCGTGTCCTCCTCGACACTCCTGCCGCGGTTACTGAACATGGCGTGACCGCGCACCTGTTATAAACAGAACATACGTCAGCGGCCGTACTCGACCGTGTCCTCCTCTACACTCCTGCCGCGGTTACTGAACATGGCGTGACCGCGCACCTGTTATAAACAGAACATACGTCAGCGGCCGTACTCGACCGTGTCCTCCTCTACACTCCTGCCGCGGTTATTGAACATGGCGTGACCGCGCACCTGTTATAAACAGAACATACGTCAGCGGTCGTACTCGACCGTGTCCTCCTCGACACTCCTGCCGCGGTTACTGAACATGGCGTGACCGCGCACCTGTTATAAACAGAACATACGTCAGCCGTACTCGACACTCCTGCCGCGATAACTGAACATCGCGTGGCCGCGCACCTGTTATAAACAGAACATACGTCAGCCGTACTCGACCGTGTCCTCCTCGACACTCCTGCCGCGGTTACTGAACATGGCGTGTCCCCGCACCTGTTATAAACAGATCATACGTCAGCCGTACTCGACCGTGTCCTCCTCGACACTCCTGCCGCGGTTACTGAACATGGCGTGACGCGCACCTGTCATAAACAGAACATACGTCAGCCGTGCTCGACCGTGTCCTCCTCGACACTCCTGCCGCGGTTACTGAACATGGCGTGACCGCGCACCTGTTATAAACAGAACATACGTCAGCTGTACTCGACAGTTCCGACACTCCTGCCGCGGTTACTAAACATGGCGTGACCGCGCACCTGTAGATAAAATACGCATCCAGAAGTCATAGCTGTGGAACCTATGTGAGTTCCGTATCCTCCAAGTCCTAAGCCACATCCCAAGAGCTTAGCTAGACTGTTCCGAAAAAAAAAAACTCTGACGGTGATTATATGTTCAAACTGGGACATCAAAACATTCAACGTTTTACAGAACCAGTCCGCTGAGCACCTTGCCAGCACCAGGCCCTCGCCTAGTATCAGCCGCCCTCGACCAGTGCCCCTACCCAATACGAGCAGCCCTCCGCTGAGCCCTCACACTGCAGCCCACTGAGTCTCCCTCCCCCAGTACCTGCCAGTGACCCCAGTTCACCTACCTGCAGTCCGCTGAGCACCAGGTGACCCTCTCCCAGGTGTCTGTGCGGCTCGGGCCGCGGCACGGTGTCCTGAACCACAGCCACGATGGGCGACAGCAGCAGCTGCAGCCGCGTCTCCCAGTACGACTTGGACATCTCGAACCCGATCCGCTCCAGGGTCAGCGTCGGACACGGAGGGTCGCCCGGCGCGCAGTTCTGGAAATGAACGGCAACCGACGTGTGATGAGCACGGGTTTCAGCGAACTAAGTTGGAGAAGTGAAAAACGGAGGTGCCACATACTCGTAGGTCAAAAACATTTTATTATTTTTGCGATTGCTGTGACAGTACGAACTACATTCCAGTTAAAATATTTTGATTCAATAAGCATTTGTCACAAGATGCGCCGAAGATTCACAGTCCTCCACAGTCCTTGAACTGTTTACTGTCTGTGAAACATGACATTATTTATTATGCCCAAAGGATCAGTGGGGACATGATTACCGACTCGAGAGAGGTCAAGAACCTCGGTGTGTACATCGACCGTCACCTCAATTTCGAAGCTCACGTGACATACATCTCACGGAAATGTACGGGTATTCTGATAGGGCTGTCACACGCGCGTCACGTGCTACCGAAACAGACATTGAAGGTGATTGTGGAGGCGCTGGCGATGTCAGTGGTGCGATATTGCCTGTCCGTGTACGGCACATGTGGTGTGACCCAGCTCGGCCGGATTCAGAAAGTTGTTCACTTTTGTGTTCGAGTCGTGACGGGCAAACGACGCTTTGACCATGTCAGCGGGGCGCTGCAGGAGCTCCGCTGGCTGAACGCAGAGCAGCTTGCTGCCTACCACACTGTGTGTGCGCTAGCGCGTATAATTGAGACGGGACAGCCTGAGTACCTGTACAACACCATTGGACCGAGAGCGGACCAAAGGCATGCCCATGCAACACGACAGTCGGGGCTAATCACATGCCCCAACATTCGTACCGAAGCTGGAAGGAGGAGAATGTGTTTTCGGGGAGTGAGATTACTGAACAGTGTGCAAGCTGTTCCCGGCGAGCCTGGGTTCCGCCGTACTGTCAGGCGGCTCGTGAGATCGGCTGACGCGCTGTGAGCAGTTGGTGTATGTATGATGGGTTTGTGTGTTTAGTGTAAATGTGTCCTCATTGTGTCCGCATTGTAACTGACGTAGAAGAATGAAAAGCCATATTTTATGGATTTCTTTTGAATACATCTGTATCTGTATCTGTATCTATCAGTAGCTCAGCATATCTCCCAGCCGCATAGGGCTTTCAGATTACCCAACTCAGCGCTCACATAAATTCACCACCTTACGATCCACACTGACAAGTTTCAAAGCTTCTAGCCTCTCCGGCGTCTCACCTTCATCAGGTGCCCTCTAATATCATGCATGGTGACGGCCACGGTGACTTTGAACGGCCGGAACTTGCGCGGGTCGAAGGGCTGCAGTTTGTCGGGCGGCGAGCCGGTGGGGGCGGCCGGCGGAGACATCGACTCGCCCGAGGCGGAGCCGGAGCCGGAGCCGGCCGGAGGACCGTCCCGCCAGCACGCCATGTCCGTGAACGCCTCGTACACGCCGAATATGTTGTCCTGTTGACGGTGAAAGGGAGGACGTGGTGAGTTGGGTCTTATGAAATTAGGGCCAGAGAATATTGACGGGCTGGAAGTTCGACGGTTTATACGCATATCAGCTGCCACAAAAGCACATGCCAGAATGATTGAACAGCCCACCACACTTGCATCGTATTCTGACTTGTATGTACTTATATTTCAATATCGAGCGGTCAATGACAATATAACGGAAAATAGTATTATAACAAAGTCACCAAAATTAGAGGAGCAATCCAGAATCCTCACTGACCAGACTTCCACACAAACGCTATGATATGCAGGTAATCACCATGGTGATTCTGCATACAAATAGCACCAGGTAAACAAACCGCGCCAGAACACGTCACCTTGAAGTTGATGATGTTATCGACGAGCGCTCCGTATACGAACAGTTCGGACGGCCCCAGTTCCAGGTCGACACTGATGTGGTCGGGGGCCAGGCTGTCCGGACAAAAGTCGTCCCGTGTAACCGGCTGCCGGAACGGGAGAGACACGGAGAGTCAGACAGTGGCTGGGGAGAGATCCAGGCTTGAAGAGCTGGCACTGGGCGACATACTACTATGGAAGACTATCGAACAGTTCGGTTGAACATTGAAAAGAATTGGGAACTGGGAAGTGCCAAGTCTTCTAGCTAACTTTGACAGTTTACTTAATATGATTGTCGTCAGCTTCAATAGATATCCATAAGAAACTTTTGACGGTCAATCAAACAAGCATTCAAGCAATACCCAATCCTCCAACCACGGACAACTCATGACGAGCGTGAATGTATTTCTCATGATATATTTCGCCCACCACCTGAGCCAGCCCCCAGTTTCCATACCGCTCCGGTATCCAGCGGCGACATTTTCCGTTTGGGCGCGCGCAGCGGCGACAGCAGGATGGCCTCCTTGTCCGGTGTGGGGATGTCGGCCTGCGGTGACGGGCCGAACGGCGGCATTGGGTGGTAGGTGTAGCCGATACGTAATGAGAGAACCGGCACCCGCCAGCAGTCCACCCAACCCGAGCTGTAGGGGAAAGAGAGGCGGGTGTTAGTCAGGGGTGAGGGGGACCCCCAAGCATTCCAGTCACCCGGAGCTGAAGGATGGAGATGAAAGTAGGGAGCAAAGAGGCCTGTTAGAGCGATGCATGATTGGCCAGGTTGAGCACGAAATTTACAGATAAAATACACATTTGCACCGCGGAGTCATGGCACTTGATGAGTCAAGCCGTGGCGTGACACCGTTTAATCCGAAATCACACATACGAGATGATGGAAGACACTGCATGTACCGACAATCCACAGCACCATGATACGGAAGAGCCGTGCCACCCGGCGCTCCTCTCACCTGGGTTTGCAGAGGTTCTTCCACCGGACAGTGCCCCCCTCTGAGCGGGCCGTCGTCTGTTCAACTCCGTCCGAGCCGGGGGCGGAGCCGGGCGTCCCAGCCGCGTCCGCCGCCGCCGCCGCCCCGGTAGCCGAAGTGGAGGCGCTGGTGACGGTGGTGGCAGCGGTACCGGCCGGCGCGCCCGGCGTGTAGGTACCGCCGTCCCGACCGCTGACCAGGCCGTTTGAGGCCAGCGAGAGGAGCACGGCTCGGCTGGCACGGACCTCCGGCAGCCACATGAGCAGCTCCAGACACTCCGCCTGTCGACGAGAAAACAACAAGGGTTAGGCAAGCATGATAGGCCGGCTATATACTACAAAAAAACGCGGCTGTTACAGACAATTACACATATTTGTAAATACAAATCACAGGAAACGTCCCACTGAGACAAAGTCAAGTAATGAAATCGTGAAAACGGTTAGGGTACACGTCAGGATCCTCCGTTTGGTGCCGCACGCTACACACAACCATCGGACCGCATGTTTGGCTACTGAAGTATACGAAGCCGAGTGAAAACTGACCTCGACTCTGAAGAGGAACGGCACCGTTTCTGGCAGGAAGTCGGTGAACGGCAGGTCGAAGCCCAAGTCCAGCATGTCACCGCATACGGCCAGGTGCGCTGAGAGACACACACGGGAAGGAACGGTCAGCGAACACTGTCAAACAGTGCAGCTCTGCAAGCGCTGACACAGAAGCGGGCAGAAGGGAAGATGCCTTCTCTCGAGCAGAATTAGGGTGGTGTCTCTAATGTAGACTTCACCGTCTGGTGTCGAACCATGTGAATTCAAGCTGTCTGATCATTTCATAGGTGGTCCAGCAGCTGAGCCGACCTCATCACCCCTCTTTTGTTTCCATTTTACTTTACCGATTCCCCGTCCCCCTTCCCGTTCTTCCTCCATCCCTTCCCGCCAATTGCCGTACCGTTCTCTGGCGACTGAGACGAACAATCGATCCAGTTGCCAGCATTGGTGAGCGTGATCAGCTCGAACTCCTTAAACAACATCTGGAAGCTCCAGGTGCACGGGGCGAACCGCAGCAGGTCGGGAGGCTGGGAGCTTGACCAGTCGTCCAGTAGATCTGTAATGATGCCGAGAAGGGCGTCAGGTAGGATCCGAGAATCAGAGTGACTCGTGCTGTTCTGGTTCTAAGTCACCTTACAGGCTACTAAGGCCGGGTGTTTAAACACATTGTTCAAACTCAATGTTCAAACACATTGCCATTTTTGCTCGATATACTAGCAGTTCTTCAGTGCACTCACCAGTAAGGAAGTATTTGTGAGCGTAGACGAAGTAGGCGGTAGTTTTGCAGAAGGTCAAGGAGAAGGTCCAGTCGCACTTTTCGTTCCAGTAGATCGGGTAGTGCATGGACACGTTGAACTCCAGACTCTCGCATTCCAGCAGATTCCGGTACTAAGAGAAACAAAGAATCAAACACGCGACTAAATATGCACTTATGAGCAGACGCGTAAAATTACTACACCCAAAACTGAGCAAAGGAAAAACACAGTTTGCAATGCCCTTAGACGGATCCGTAGCACTTGAAACCTAACAAATAAAATGTGAGAAGACGCCACACGAATCAAACCAATTTCCGGCCGAATCGGTTTGACGATCCGAGTCGTGGTGCTATCCTCTGCAGACTTTTTTGACTGCTTATCAGGAGTTGTATCAGCCAGACTCGTGTTCTCACGGTATTCTGCGGTCATGATTGGTGTTCTGATTATCCGACTGAGCCTATTTTCATCGTCAGACCTCTAACCGTCATACTGAGAAGTCTGTTCACAGCCAGACAAGTTAGTCTCGCACCAACAAACTGATAGTCTGCTGTCAGACTACTGTTCTGACTGTGAGTCAGATGAATCCGTCTTTACCGTCAGACTAGTAGTGGCGTCCAGATGCAGCAGCTGTCCGATGACTCGGTTAAAGCAGCCCGTCTCCCCCACCACCAGACTGGTTAGTCTGCTGTCAGACTGTGAGTCTGACTAGTCTCCTTACCGTCAGACTAGTAGTGGCGTCCAGGTGCAGCAGCTGTCCGATAACCCGGTTACAGCAGCCCGTCTCGCCCACCACCCACGGCACGGTAATCTCCATGTACGAGCCGGGGCCCAAGTTCATGTGGATCGCGCTCGTCTCCTGAGAAAGAGAAGTGGAGCGGGTCAGTGGGGTCAGGTCAGTGGGGGCAGGTCAGTGACAACTAGGTCAGTGGGGATAAGTCAGAAGGAACTGCCGGCGAGAGGGTACTGGCTGACAGATATGCTGGCTGTTTGCGAAAGTAATGCCGTCAGATCAGACTACGTACAAAATCTCTCACCAACCATGCTTGAATAAGATGCAAGGAAAGACGCCTCAGTTATTCGCCACAAACGAAGTCGAATCCTCCCATTCTCGGTATTCATAACGGCAGCCGACAACATTAATACCAGACTAGACAGATACTCATCGGTATGTCTGGCAGCCCAAGCACCAACGCTAATTGGACTCAACAGAAACATGAGCCAGGATCGATACAACCGGAACCCGCTAAAAGGGCTCTAATCAGCCGGAACCTAAAAACTAACTATTCTCTACACCATGCTCGTCGTCATTAAATGTTCAGTACATACATATGCTCTGGACGTCGTCTCATCTAACTCCGTCTCGCCCACAACTCAACAAGGCATCGTGCGCACGTGTCCTTACCTGGTTCTTGGTGAACAGCACATCCATGGTGGCGTCGAAGAGAGTGCTGACGCGGACATCGAGCGCCTGGTGGAGCCGACGCTGACCGGGTCTGGCCGGCGGCGTCACCCGCTGCGGCTCGTACGAGGTCGGAAAGAAGAACCGGAAGAGCGAGTCCCGCTGCCGGTCTGCCCACGGTCCGTAGCTGAAGTCGGTGCCGCGGCCGCACTGCGAGAACGGAATGGGAATGGAGAGAGTCAGTACCGCGGAGAAACATAAAGTGCGAGTGATTGCAAACAGGGAACAGGAAATAAATCGTTAGAATTCCCGACTAAGCGACAGTTCTCGGATGCTTGCTCAAATCTCCTCAACCTCTGATTAGACCCCATCCCTAGTCCACCTCTGACCTCACCTTGACCTCAATACCGCAGACGGGCGGCGGCGACTCGCACGGGTCACCGTTGGCCAGCCGCTCAGTCTCCGTCTCCTCCACGCCATCGGGCACCCAGCCGGGTACGTCCATGTACGCGTAAATGTCCACGTTATTGGACTGAAGTACCACAAAGCCCTCGCCCATGTAGCGCGGCGGGTCATCCCGACGGCCCGTGTAGCTGCGAGACGGAGCCATGATCACCTGCAGGGGGAAAAGGAATATGGTTATGGTGAGGGCTAAAAAGTCGGGTGAGGTCGGTTTTGAATTATGTCTGGTCGTAAGGGGTTACGAAAGGTAGAATGAGGGTCAGATGGGGACGAGGAAGATATATTGTGAATATGGTGCATGGCATGGCTCGGTAAATGATGGGAAGTAAAGCTAAGAAAGGTTAGGAAGACCGACGGGAGTCACGCTATATCGGGACAGGGTCATGTTGGATCGATGAAAGCAAGGCTAGAGTTAGACTGATAAGTGGTTGTAATGAGATTGAATAGATAAAACACAGGTCGAATTCACATCGGAATGGACAACGCTTCATGCATTAACAAGAATAAGTGAGCAATGCTCCATGACAAATTTCACAGTTCACATGGACAGTCACATGAAGCGTATCATTCGAGTTTGTGTCGAAATAAACGCGACGTCGCCGCTAACCAAACAGCATCATTTCCAATTAAAAGCAGCGGTGTAACAATACGACGCCGACAATCGCCGCCGCCGATCGTTCTCCTAGTCTGGAGACCGCCACCATCGACCATTCGATACCTCGCTGGTGAACAACAGGCAATCATTGGGTCGATCGTATCACTCCGGTACCGACAAACATCGGGATGGCAGACGTCCCATACCGGTGAATTATTCGTACGGCCGGATACATGGGACCAGCAACTGAGTGAAAGTGACAGATGTGGGGTAGTTATCGTGTTATGGTGGAGCAATAAGGAAAATAAGCAGCTGAATCATAAGTCAAACATGACGCAAATGTGTATCATATTACCCACCTGCTATCATGAGCATAACGTACCCATAATCCCGACAATCCCAAAATAAAAAATGGCCCGTAACTAGGGCATTTGGTTAGTAAGAGCAGGATCAACGTTATGTTTTTCCGTACTATTCACAACCAAAATTGTGAATAGTTTAACTGGTATCTTAATAGTAAGACCATTCACGCCCTAATTCTACAGTCCCAGTGAAGCCAGTTGGGGCCTTGCGGTCGGTAACTTTATCGTACACCGTTGAGTTTCATAGAGCCCATGGAATCTGGGAGTGGGCGAACCACAGCCAGCACAGCCGCAGGCGACCACCGTCCCAGGCTCGGCGGGTGTGGTCGATATCATGACATAGCGGCCGGGGACGATGCGGGTGGTAGGAGCGGGTTTAGCCGGTGATGTGGTGAAAGGAGGCGTGTGCATATGTGCTAACTTAATATGTGTGCATTGCGTGGTAAGTGAAAAAAAAAAAATAATAAGTGACGTGGTGGAAGACCCAAACATAGCATCGCTCCACTAAAAGACTTACTTCGTATGCGTTTAATGATTAATCGTTAAGAGATTTCCATAACATAATCCGCAATATCAGTAAAAGTATTCACATGGCATGCTCATATGAGCGCCTTGCCTCACAAATAATGCCCAAACTCTGCTCACCATGTGCAAAATCACACCGCGGTACCATTTAATTAGCATAGCGCAAACACAGCTGTATGGCGACGCTCGGCGTTCGTTCGGCAGGGCAGGGTCTGGGCACAGGTGGTCTGGGACGCATACCAGCCGGGTTTGACGAGTGGCTTTGAAATCGATCCACATACCGGCCCCCCGGCGGAACGGGGGGCACCAGACCGCCGCTGGCACTCCATCCTCCCCCTCCCCCCCTCTCCCAGGGCCCGGGGAAAGTTCAGCGGGGACCCGCCTCCGCTCATTCGAGGCCGGAATATTTCAGCGGCGTGAGGAATACTAATTAGAGGCCAGTTGGAGCGGCTGTAAAACAATTTGTTGGGGCAAGACCAGGAAGGGAAGTCTTCATGGAGAAATACTGGGACATGTGCATTGCAGGCAGGGAAAGGAAACTCAATTCACTATTGATGTTAGAAATAGTTTGGGCTGTCATACTGTGAGCTGAATATCGTTTGCATTGGACTTGCTAAGCATGAGCTCTGAGAACATTCAACCCAAGTTGTGAATCAGACAATCGGCAGTTCCCAGACCAGAGAGGAATCCCACTTGCCTTGAAGTTTTCGGCCGTCATTTTGACGTAGTGCATGAAGAGGTCGTACTGCGAGGCGGAGGGTTTGGTCGAGTAGAGACACTTGGCCTCCTCCACCGACACGATCAGAGTGGTGGGCACCAGACGGTTACCGAACACCACTCGGCCCTGGGAATGGACGGGCGGGTCCGTGAGTGGCATACATACGAACACATATGTAGATGACGAGACATTTCTAACGGACAGAAATCCGATTACTCTGGGATGCTACAAACAGGACCGCGTCTTGACACTTCCTGTAATATACACACATGAAAATTTTGATCAGAGGCTGTAAATCGCCAATTACTGAAGGAACGGAAAAAATATGCATGTTATGAGCCACGAGATATTGAAGCTTGCTGATCTAATTTACGTCCGTTGTAGCGCTTCACTGAGCGGCAACTGCGTAACTATGCATAATACAAAATGCATGTAAAATATCCATCAAAACGTCCTACTTCACTCATCATATCTTGTCCATCGCTCACCGTTGAGATATCCGCCTTGATGACTGGCACCAGGTCTCTCCAGCTGCGGTACGGATCCAGAGCAGCCACCTCGGCGTCTGTGGGCGGCGGAGAGCCGGCGCCTCCTCCGCCCTTATCGGGCGGCTCCTCCGGGTCACCGCCGTCCCCGTCCGGGCCCAGCAGCAGCTGCTCGAGACCGAACAGCCGCTCCAGCCGAGAGTACACCCAGGAGCGGTTGTACAGGTGCAGCTCCAGACCGTTCAGCACCACGAACAGGCGCGTGTCACGGCTGGAGAGATCTGAACGGGAGGGATGATGGCGTCAGTCGAACGCAACACGGAACGGATCCATGATTAGGGTAAAAGGGTACAGCCCCATTCGCGGAAAATAGCGTCAGATGAATGTTACGCGAAACGGAAAGATGCAAGAGAACTACGAAAGAGGAGCCAAACGCGAATAGAACGATCGAACTTGCCTATGGAATATGATTGATCGATCCCTAGCATATCAAACGATTTCCTATGGCCGCAAATCTTTAACAAATACAAATTATACAATGTTAGGTGTTGATTTTTTTTCATATCATACAATCATACAATACTCGTAATATTCATATCAAACTAATGGTGGTATTGATAATCTTAGTTTTCCCTTCCCCGCGCCGTCACGAACCTGAGGCCTCCTTGGGCACGTAGACGCGCCACCAGCGGAAGATGAAGAAGCCGTCCTGCACGCGCACCGTGCTGTCGGTCGTGATGTAGGCCAGATCGCGGAACATTACCTTGCCCGAGAGCACCGAGAACGAAAACGAGCCTGCCGCCGTGGGCACAGAACGAATTGTGAGCAAGAGAATCGGGGAGCGGGAGGGATTTGATATTGTTTAACGGGTGAGCGTTTTTCAATAGTTCATGCAGCAATGTTTTTTTGCGATATGCACCAGTCCGGTGTCCACTTACTGCCAGCGACAGATTTATCAGCTTTCCGATCCATATTCCGAAACAGTATGATAGTGACAAGAAAAACACACACATCAACATACTAATGTTTACGTTTACAAAACAAGACAAACAAACTCGCTAAGCAAAAAGCATCACACGAGGCTGGTTAAATATTTGTGAGAACCAGTATTCATGTATGTCAACCAGGCTGCAACTCCACATACAACATCCACGCCTTCCTTTCATCCAGCACCAACAGCACTTACCGACTTTGAAGTAGGCATTCTGGTCGATAAACCTATTGACGATGCTGGTGACGATGAGGCCGAACAGCCGCGAGTTGTAGAACGTGATGTAGATGACCCAGACGGCGACGACCAGCAGCGAGATGATGAGGAAGGCGAAGTTGCTGTCGAACGTCAGATCCTTGACGCCCACAGTGGTGTTGGCGTTCCACCGAGCCGCGTTCGGGCTATCGTCCGCAACGGTCACGTTCATCGTGGCTTCTGATGGCGCTGTCAGTCACCTGCGGGGAAGCGCAATAGTCGCTGTGTTTAATTCACGTCGTCATCCGACAATACTTGTGTTACATTAGTTCACGATAGCCGACAGTGTGAACTGAATTTGTGAGGCCATGTGGTCACTATCTGAGAACGCGGCCAGCCATGACAGCTGCCGACACTGACAGGCAAACGGTCTATGGTGGGGAGAGTCGGGGGTGGCTGGAATCGCACCAAAACTACCGCGTAAACCGCTCCACACTGCTGGCAAACAGCGCAGCGGCATTGGGGACGATGTTTATAAACAGTGAAAGGGTTCGCTATGGTGATGCAAGAGTTTGGCGACCGAAAGGTCCAAGTCCAGATCCGACGGAGCTCGTGGGATCCAAGAAAGGCCTGGCTGGGTCCAAGCTCGGCGATGGGAATGCATTGTACTTTGTAGATAAATCGCTAGATTTGTTACCCGAACTAGGTATTGGATGCTTAATAGTCACGTCGATTTACACCACACACCTATTCAATAGTTCCGATTCAGTAATAGACGTAATACTCGGGGCCGGTTTTGCTTCGGTAAATTCTGCACCTCTGTTTCCCACCAAACGCAAGCTTGCGCGGAGACGGCCAGTCTCCTATTTACGTCTCGCTGGCTCCGATACGCGCAGCCAGTCATTGTCATTGTAGTGACCTTGGATCTCGGAGTGTCGACAAAGCACGCCATTATCACTCCGGGGGGGGGGAGGGGAGGGAGAGGGATGCTCCGTGCACGACGCACAGACAAGCGCAGTGCACGCGGCAGAGCTTGGAAGGTTTCCTGCCTACTAAATCGACTCTACTGCTGGGAGCCTCGTCAATATTTCGACGAACAATAAAATATTTGATGTGGTACCAAGCCGAGCTAAGACGGGCGGGGGACACAATGTTATTCATTATCTGATAATTGACAAGAAAACAATCAAACTTCAATGATGAGCGACGTTAACAGCACAATCATATAGACGCTTCGATAAAAAGCAAGCAATCTTCCAAGCTAAATATACATCGAAGCCAATAGATTAATACCCCAATTTAATGCCGTTCAAAATAAACAGGATGTCTACCAGTAATGAAGTGTAAAGCAAAACAAATTCCTTATACGACCAGCCCACACATTACGTGACTTTTTAGGTACATCGTAAGTAGGCAAGGCACAGGCCTAATAAATGATTAATGATAATATGCGATGTTATTGGAAGCCACGCTCTAATCGTCCGGCACTGCCGCTGAGTTCAAGTAAATCATCTAGCAGCCAAAATGATTCAGGAGAGAACCATGTTATCCATGTGTTACAGCCTGGATGCGAGCCAATATTAAGCAAAAGCAGCAGTCAACTACCACTGATCCACAGTTGATCACAGAAAGCCGGTCGCGGAAGAGGTCGCCTGCGTAACGTTTACTTATGGCGTGTTGATACGGTGTATTATTGGCATGTAGTTGGCTTAGAGGCGACGCACATTGATTGTTTGTGTTGGCATGATCATTTCGCTCCCTCTGAAGCCATCAGAGCACTTGACATCGGAAAGGTTTGGAGCTCACCAAATGCGACAGCTTTACGGGGACCCGGGCCGATTCGCCGTTCAATATCTCCTTGGGCGGGTAGGTATGATGGGGAGAATGCATTGTCAATCATAGAAGGCTGCGGCTCGCTCACCTCTTCTCGAAGCTTGACCTTAGACTAGAGATTCTAATAGTACGCCAAACCACGTGTCTGACACCCAAAAGTTGTCGACTTCACTAATTCATCAGGCATTGTCCGAACTCATTAAAGACGACTTCCACAAAACAGCTCGTAAATAGGCAGCATCCCACTGAGACGAGTCTCAATTAGCGAGTTTAATGGCGTGGCGCCAGCCGACAGCGACTGTTTGCCCAGCGCCATTCGACGTTCCGACGAGTCGTTCAGCTCCGTACAGTGCGGGATAAGAGGATCCCTGCCGTGAGAGTAGTCGTACAGTAATGTCTCATAAATCACATCTGGCTGCTACAATGAGTGTACGAGTCTTCCCTCTTAGCGGCACAAAGCGGGGGTCATTTTACACGAATCAGTTTCCGATTCGCGACGACTCTATCGTTCAGTTGCATTACTGACTTACCGAATAATGAGTATTATTTTTTCATATGAGGATTTCTCGAATGAATTTAGCTCGAATGTTCAAATAAATGCTTCGAATGAGCCAGAGCCTATGTTAAGTAGAGGCTAGAGCGAAGGTTCCGGCCCCTATCGTCTGATCGGGAAATACCGTGAGGTGTGAGCTGGGGAGGATTTAGATAGGAACAATAGTTCAGTGTGCCCCATCCATCTCCTTCAAAGGCTACGGCTGCTAACACTGACAACAGAACACAACTGTCAGGAGTCTCATTATTGTATGGCGCCGGAGTGACTCAAAGTGACTACCCTTCACTATCAATGGTCCAACATACTACTAAGCCACCAGGCAGACATGACAATTATTGAATGAATGGTTGATGAATTGATGGGCAAGATTGGGACGTGTGAGACCTGAGATTTGAGAAGCCAGCTGCCAGAGCTGCTGTCAGAGTCAGAGCCTATCTGTTTTTTTGTTTTTTTAATGTCCAGAACTGGGGTCACCAGAGTTAGCACACTGGCAGTGCAGCATTTTCCTTGGAACTCTGGCAAGTATACTCGAGAGTGGCATGATTTTTCATGATTCAACATTCAGTAGTGTCCATTCTGATGACACATTAGTGACTAGTGTAGACATGGCGCCCACTGGAATCGCTTCTGCGCCTGCCTTTGCTACACCTGTGGAACACCAACAAATGGTGGCTTGAATGACAGTGACACTTGATTCATGGATGACAGTTATATAACAGAAGAAAGACAATGTAGATGACTAAGTGGAGAGTGGAAGAGTTAGGCAGAAGTGCCTAACAGACCAGAGTCCAGACCTGGCTTGACTATACATACACCATGTCTGACCCTGGCCTGGCCTGCATCTGAAATTGTCATCTGGAGACGATGTCTTGTGGCTGTGTGTGGTCAGTTAGCCACTCATGAGGAGCCACACCAGCAGCAGCATTCCTGCCACAAAGACAAAGTGCTGGGTGCTGGGCAATCACTGCCCACCACTCAGGTGCAGACAGACATGCTCTTCACAATGTCAATTTAAAACTGCCAGAGTTAAAAGTCTGACAGAGTGTTGGCCAAATCTGGGCCATGACAAGGCCATGGCTCTGGTGTCTAGTGTTGCTGCAGCCACCCATGGGTAGTAGCTAATGATAAGCGTTTGAAACTAGCTTGTGCCTGCTGAAATGGTGTGTTTATGATCATATTCTTTAATGACAGAAGGCCATGACTTTTAGCTGTCACAAATAGGTAGGAATTTAAGCAATCCATTATTCATTTATCTGTACCACCTGTCGAATGAATAGGGGCAGGTCACCATCTGTGGACCAGCTCCCTGCCAGTGAGGTGCTTTCTCAGCTTTTTCAGCAGATCAAGGGCATCTGTAGTACAGTGAAAGACCTGGTTGATCAGGTGAAGGCACTGACACTCTCCGCAGCCACTGGCCAGGGCCCCACCTCGGTCCCCCTGTCCACGTTCCAACCCACAGAACCCAGACCGCAACAGCCTGCTGTTAACTACCGTTCTATTGTCCACGAGGAGCTGAAAGAAATGAAGGAGCGAGACAAACGCAAACAATCTGTGATTATCAAAGGGCTAAAGGCAACCTCTGGTAGTGACCTTGCTGTAAAGTTTGAACAACTGACAGAGCAGCAGATGGGCAGAAAGGTCAGTCTCTCTGACATTTCTGCCATCTCAGGTCACACCGGTATCTACCGAGCAAAAATCACTGATGATGAACTCCGCAGGACTGTGCTGGAGAAGGCAAAAACCTTACGGAACACAGAGTACAATGACGTTTACATCTCCAGAGATCTCACATATGCCCAAAGGGCAGAACTTTTTGCCCGTCGGAAGGCCAGGCGGGAGGAGCTTGCACAGACCCAGGATCCAGCCGGGGATGGTCCCCAGAATAGAACTGGCCCCCGGCCCTCTGCTTCTGGGGGAGCTCCCCCACAAGATGCTCAGGGAAACTAGTGCCCATCCCAGACTGTACTGGCAACCTTCAAAATACTAGTGTTATGAAGTTTATGTTGACAAACATCAATGGGTTGCCTTCAAAATTCAACTTGCTTAGGGAAGATGCCACAAAGCATAGTTGGGACATTATTTGTGTTACAGAGACCCATCTGCTTCCTCATCTTCTCAGTTCCATTGTTGAACTTCCTGAGTACTCACTCATTCGCCATGATACAAGTGGGCATGTATATAAGCATGGGGTATGCTGCTATATTCATAATAAACATACTTTTGACACAGTGTCTCATCCCCTTGCAAATGTTCTTTCCTTTCGTATTACTTTACTGAATATCTATGTACTAATTGTGTACAGAGCCCCATCAAATTCGATGGAATCAAACCAAGTGCTAAATGAGTACATTCTTAACTTCTGTAGTGGCAAAGAGGTCATCTTGTTAGGCGATTTTAACTTACCTGCAGTTGATTGGTCCAGCCTGTCTCTCCACTGTCCCCCCCTCGAACAAATGTTCCTCAACACTTGTCTCTCCCTTGGCCTCCACCAGTGGGTTACCGAAGCAACCTATCCCAGGTCGGGCAATATCCTCGACTTAGTCCTCACCACTGAGCCTGATCGGATTGGATCCATCAGTGTTATGGCTCCTCTACCAGGCTGTGATCATTGCCCAGTGTCCTTTGACTACATATTTGACAGCGCTGCCTTATCTGACACGATGCCACAAACTCAGTTGCCTAACCAGAGAGATTGGCACAAAGGAAAGTTTAGATTAGCCAACCAACTGTTGAGCGAAGTCAACTGGGACTTCGAACTGGCTTACTGTGATGTTGATGCATCCTACAATAAATTTTCCATGATCCTCAAGCAGGTGACAACTGAATGTGTCCCTCTTAAACCCCCAAGAACCTGTACGCCACCTTGGTCTACCA